GGGAAGTAAACAAAAGCAGAGGGGAAGATTTCCCCTTACCTTACAGAAACTTTTGTCAAACAATTCTTTACTCTTGTGGGCCATCTTCCGATGCTAGAGATAAGAATTTCCTTCTTTTATCCATGCAAGTGTGTCTTTGGCGTGAGGTTTCAGTAATCGCTAATGGCTTTCGTTTCTGAAGGCCAGGGGGTTCCCTTACATATTTCTTTGGAGGGAGAAGGGGCAAAGGGTCAGGAATACAAGGAAACACAAAAAAACATACAGAAATTATACACAGGGAAATCATATGCAAGTATCTTCCCATCCAGGGCCCCAGAGAGAAATTAATAATACCAATTATAAAAAGCAGACGATATCAGGACACAGCATGAATCCATAAGTTGTCTTGAAGAAAGTTCATGGGTAGAGAGCGAGTCCTTGAAGAGAGTGAAGTCCAGGAATGTCGCAGAATTCAAAAAGCCGCCAAAGGGAGTCTATGGAGTTCCACTGGGACAAGACGCAAAGCCCTGCAGCGCTGGGATGGAAGCCAGTCCCATGCTCCTTGGAAAACTACAGCTCTCTCTCTCGAGAGAGAGAGGGGCAGAGACCCCAAGGTCTAGCCATTCTTGAAGTTTCATGGGGTCCACATTGTTGTTAAGGTCTTGGCAAATTGACCAAGACTTAACCCCTATTGTGCAGTCTGGTACCTTTGTCTTTGTCCTTTGCAGAACTATAAGTTAACATTCCTTGTTGGGGGGGGGGGGCATGCTCGACTTCAGTCATCACCCTGTTTTTGATCAAAAGTGCAAACATAGAGGCACAACTGAATAGCAATGGCTTAGAGAAGCAATCCTAACAAGTGTGGAAAGCTTGCAATATACTATAGTCATCTCTCTCAGGTCTCATCTTTTCTCTAGGACGGAACTTCTGTGTGCCCAGGGGGGAGTCTCTCATCTGGTATCACCCACGGATTGAGGTTCTGGGTTTGAGCCTGCCACTTTTGGACTCTCGCTTGCTGAGGTGTTCCAGCGAGTGTCTCTGTAGATCTAAGAAAACTATTTCTTGATTTAAGTCGTTGACGTGCTGGCTGATACCCAAACAAGGGATGGGCTGGAGATGTCTCTGCCTTGGTCCTTTCACTATTGGCTGCTACTTCCCGGCGGATGTTCTTGAGGTGAAAGGCACATGTCTGTGTTTTGGATGGGTTGGGGATCAGCTGGTTTTCCCTGAAAGGCACATGTCTGTGTTTTAGATGGGTTGGGGATCAGCTGGTTTTCCCTGTAATAGGCAGTAAGAGCACCTAGAGCTTCGGAGAGCTTCTGTTCTACCATCTCAAAGCTCCCTGCTTGAGTGGTGATGGCACGATCATCAGCATAGATGAAACTCTCTGTCCCTTCTGGCAGTGGCTGGTCATTTGTGTAGATGTTGAACATGGATGGAGCAAGCACGCTCCCCTGAGGCAGGCCGTTCTTCTGTTTCCGCCATCTGCTTCTCTGGCCTTGGAACTCAACAAAAAAGCTCCTGTTTTGTAGCAGGTTTCCTATGAGGCGGGTGAGGTGGTCGTCCTTTGTGATATTATACATTTTTCTCAGGAGGAGGCGGTGGTGGTTCACAGAATCATAAGCCGCTGACAGGTCTATGAAGACAGCTCCTGTGATCTGCTGCCTTTCAAAGCCATCTTCTATGTGCTGAGTCAGGTTCAGCACTTGCAATGTGAAGCTTTTGCCTGCAAGGCCGTTCAATGCTGATCAAGGTGACCAAGGGCAACATTCAACATTACGTGGGCATCTACTTAAAGAAACAGACATTAAGCAATCAGGGCCAGCTAACACCTCCCAAGGAAGGATTCTCCCAGGCAGGAAGCAGCCAGGCTTTGAAGCTGAAAGGCCATTCAATGCTGATCAATGGCAACATTCAACATGATGTTGGTATCTGCATAAAGAAACAGACATTAAGCAATCAGGGTCAGGTAACACCACCCAAGAAAGGATTCTCCCAGGCAAGAAGCAGCCAGGCTTTGAAGCTGCAAGGGATGCCTGCTATAGATGTGGGCGAAACGTCAGGAGGGAATGCTTCTCAAACATGGCCGTACACCCTGGAAAACTCACAGCAACCCATTTGTTTTCATGTAGGTATCTACTTAAAGAAACAGACATTAAGCAATCAGGGCCAGCTAACACCTCCCAAGGAAGGATTCTCCCAGGCAGGAAGCAGCCAGGCTTTGAAGCTGCAAGGCCATTCAAGGTGGCCAATGGCAACATTCAACATGATGTTGGTATCTGCATAAAGAAACAGGCATTAAGCAATCAGGGCCAGCTAACACCTCCCAAGGAAGGATCCTCCCAGGCAGGAAGCAGCCAGGCTTTGAAGCTGAAAGGCCATTCAATGCTGATCAATGGCAACATTCAACATGATGTTGGTATCTGCATAAAGAAACAGACATTAAGCAATCAGGGTCAGGTAACACCACCCAAGAAAGGATTCTCCCAGGCAAGAAGCAGCCAGGCTTTGAAGCTGCAAGGGATGCCTGCTATAGATGTGGGCGAAACGTCAGGAGGGAATGCTTCTCAAACATGGCCGTACACCCTGGAAAACTCACAGCAACCCATTTGTTTTCATGTAGGTATCTACTTCTTAAAAGAAACAGACATTAAGCAATCAGGGCCAGCTAACACCTCCCAAGGAAGGATTCTCCCAGGCAGGAAGCAGCCAGGCTTTGAAGCTGAAAGGCCATTCAATGCTGATCAATGGCAACATTCAACATGATGTTGGTATCTACATAAAGAAACAGACATTAAGCAATCAGGGTCAGGTAACACCACCCAAGAAAGGATTCTCCCAGGCAAGAAGCAGCCAGGCTTTGAAGCTGCAAGGGATGCCTGCTATAGATGTGGGCGAAACGTCAGGAGGGAATGCTTCTCAAACATGGCCGTACACCCTGGAAAACTCACAGCAACCCATTTGTTTTCATGTAGGTATCTACTTCTTAAAAGAAACAGACATTAAGCAATCAGGGCCAGCTAACACCTCCCAAGGAAGGATTCTCCCAGGCAGGAAGCAGCCAGGCTTTGAAGCTGCAAGGCCATTCAATGCTGATCAATGGCAACATTCAACATGATGTTGGTATCTGCATAAAGAAACAGGCATTAAGCAATCAGGGCCAGCTAACACCTCCCAAGGAAGGATTCTCCCAGGCAGGAAGCAGCCAGGCTTTGAAGCTGCAAGGCCATTCAAGGTGGCCAATGGCAACATTCAACATGATGTTGGTATCTGCATAAAGAAACAGGCATTAAGCAATCAGGGCCAGCTAACACCTCCCAAGGAAGGATTCTCCCAGGCAGGAAGCAGCCAGGCTTTGAAGCTGCAAGGCCATTCAAGGTGGCCAATGGCAACATTCAACATGATGTTGGTATCTGCATAAAGAAACAGGCATTAAGCAATCAGGGCCAGCTAACACCTCCCAAGGAAGGATCCTCCCAGGCAGGAAGCAGCCAGGCTTTGAAGCTGAAAGGCCATTCAATGCTGATCAATGGCAACATTCAACATGATGTTGGTATCTACATAAAGAAACAGACATTAAGCAATCAGGGTCAGGTAACACCACCCAAGAAAGGATTCTCCCAGGCAAGAAGCAGCCAGGCTTTGAAGCTGCAAGGGATGCCTGCTATAGATGTGGGCGAAACGTCAGGAGGGAATGCTTCTCAAACATGGCCGTACACCCTGGAAAACTCACAGCAACCCATTTGTTTTCATGTAGGTATCTACTTAAAGAAACAGACATTAAGCAATCAGGGCCAGCTAACACCTCCCAAGGAAGGATTCTCCCAGGCAGGAAGCAGCCAGGCTTTGAAGCTGCAAGGCCATTCAATGCTGATCAATGGCAACATTCAACATGATGTTGGTATCTGCATAAAGAAACAGGCATTAAGCAGTCAGGGCCAGCTAACACCTCCCAAAAAAGGATTCTCCCAGGCAGGAGGCAGCCAGGCTTTGAAGCTGCAAGGCCATTCAATGCTGATCAAGGTGTCCAAGGGCAACATTCAATATTATGGAGTTATCTACATAAAGAAACAGGCATTAAGCAATCAAGGCCAGCTAACACCTCGCAGCAAAGGATTCTCCTGGGCAGGAAGCAGCCGGACTTTGAAGCTGAAAGGCCATTCAATGCTGATCAAGGTGGCCAAGGGCAACATTCAATATTATGGAGTTATTTGCATAAAGAAACAGGCATTAAGCAATCAGGGCCAGTTAACACCTCCCAAGAAAGGATTCTCCCAGGCAGGAAGCAGCCAGACTTTGAAGCTGCAAGGCCATTCAAAGGGAGACACAACCTAGATCATGAACGCCTTGTATTGACATGGCACGAGGAGAGCGCCACCTGGAGGCGAGAAGGGGGAAAGAAAGAAAGAGGCGCCGCCCTGACGTCACTTCCCGCTTCTCTATGGCCCGCACGCCCAGTTAGGCGGGGCCTAGAGCGGGACACGTCGCGCCCGAAGTCCCCGCCTCTTCCGGTCCCGGCGGCGGCCATTTTGTGAGCGCGACGGGAGAAGGAGTTCCTCGGGAGAAGAAGGAGGAGGAGGAGGAAGAAGGAGCAGGCCTGCTGTGGGGCCCTTGCCCGGCCGCCATGCCCTCCTCGCCGCTCCGGGTGGCCGTGGTTTGCTCCAGCAACCAGAACCGCAGCATGGAGGCCCACAACATCCTCAGGTAAATTTAGGCCCCGCTAGGCCTCACCCGGACTAGGCCTCTCTCTCTCTTCAGAGGCCTACTTGGGCCTTTCCTCCAGTTGTGTTTTGGACTCCAACTCCCAGCATGCCTCACAGCCTCAGGCCCCTTCCTTTTCCCCCTCAGCCGCTTAAGGAAGGAAGAGGCCTGAGGCTGTGAGGCATGCTGGGAGTTGGAGTCCAAAACACAACTGGAGGGAAGGCCCACGTAGGCCTAAGCCTATTCTATCTATCTATCTTTCTATAAGTCTATAAGGCTGTGAGGAATGCTGGGAGTTGGAGTCTAAAGCACAACTGGAGGGAAGGCCCAAGTTGGCCTAAGCCTATTCTATCTATCTATCTAATCTATCTTTCTATAAGGCTGTGAGGCATGCTGGGAGTTGGAGTCCAAAACACAACTGGAGGGAAGGCCCAAGTAGGCCTAAGCCTATTCTATCTATCTATCTAATCTATCTTTCTATAAGTCTATAAGGCTGTGAGGAATGCTGGGAGTTGGAGTCCAAAACACAACTGGAGGGAAGGCCCAAGTAGGCCTAAGCCTATTCTATCTATCTAATCTATCTTTCTATAAGGCTGTGAGGCATGCTGGGAGTTGGAGTCCAAAACACAACTGGAGGGAAGGCCCACGTAGGCCTAAGCCTATTCTATCTATCTATCTAATCTATCTTTCTATAAGTCTATAAGGCTGTGAGGCATGCTGGGAGTTGGAGTCCAAAACACAACTGGAGGGAAGGCCCAAGTAGGCCTAAGCCTATTCTATCTATCTTTCTATAAGTCTATAAGGCTGTGAGGAATGCTGGGAGTTGGAGTCCAAAACACAACTGGAGGGAAGGCCCAAGTAGGCCTAAGCCTATTCGATCTATCTATCTAATCTATCTTTCTATAAGGCTGTGAGGAATGCTGGGAGTTGGAGTCCAAAACACAACTGGAGGGAAGGCCCACGTAGGCCTAAGCCTATTCTATCTATTTATCTAATCTATCTTTCTATAAGGCTGTGAGGCATGCTGGGAGTTGGAGTCCAAAACACAACTGGAGGGAAGGCCCACGTAGGCCTAAGCCTATTCTATCTATCTATCTAATCTATCTTTCTATAAGTCTATAAGGCTGTGAGGCATGCTGGGAGTTGGAGTCCAAAACACAACTGGAGGGAAGGCCCACGTAGGCCTAAGCCTATTCTATCTATCTATCTAATCTATCTTTCTATAAGTCTATAAGGCTGTGAGGCATGCTGGGAGTTGGAGTCCAAAACACAACTGGAGGGAAGGCCCAAGTAGGCCTAAGCCTATTCTATCTATCTATCTAATCTATCTTTCTATAAGTCTATAAGGCTGTGAGGCATGCTGGGAGTTGGAGTCCAAAACACAACTGGAGGGAAGGCCCACGTAGGCCTAAGCCTATTCTATCTATCTATCTAATCTATCTTTCTATAAGTCTATAAGGCTGTGAGGAATGCTGGGAGTTGGAGTCCAAAACACAACTGGAGGGAAGGCCCAAGTAGGCCTAAGCCTATTCTATCTATCTATCTAATCTATCTTTCTATAAGTCTATAAGGCTGTGAGGAATGCTGGGAGTTGGAGTCCAAAACACAACTGGAGGGAAGGCCCAAGTAGGCCTAAGCCTATTCTATCTATCTATCTAATCTATCTTTCTATAAGTCTATAAGGCTGTGAGGCATGCTGGGAGTTGGAGTCCAAAACACAACTGGAGGGAAGGCCCAAGTAGGCCTAAGCCTATTCTATCTATCTATCTAATCTATAAGTCTATAATAGCTTGGGTGTGATCCTGGACTCATCGCTGAGCCTGGAACCCCAGGTTTCGGCGGTGACCAGGGGAGCATTCGCACAATTAAAACTTGTGCGCCAACTGCGACCGTACCTTGGGAAGTCTGACTTAGCCACGGTAGTCCACGCTCTGGTTACATCCCGCCTTGATTACTGCAACGCTCTCTACGTGGGGTTGCCTTTGAAGACAGCCCGGAAGCTCCAATTAGTCCAACGGGCGGCAGCCATGGTACTAACAGGAGCGGGGCACAGGGAGCACACAACTCCTCTGTTGCACCAGCTCCACTGGCTGCCGATATGCTACCGGGTTCAATTCAAAGTGCTGGTTTTGGCCTTTAAAGCCCTAAACGGTTCTGGCCCAACCTACCTATCCGAACGTATCTCTGCCTATCAGCCCACCAGGGCCCTAAGATCTTCTGGAGAGTCCCTGCTCTCTATCCCGCCGGCTTCCCAAGCGCGGCTGGTGGGAACGAGAGACAGGGCCTTTTCTGTGGTGGCCCCTCGGCTTTGGAACACCCTCCCTATAGAGATACGATCAGCTTCTTCGCTGATGGTCTTCCGGAAGAGATTAAAAACATGGCTATGTCAACAAGCATTTAATTAGCTGTCACGACCGAATCTATGGACTAAGGACTGGTTAATTATGGATGACGAACTCTGGACTGCGATTTTTGTGATGAGAAGCATGGTGTTATTATTGGTGGCCCAATAATGTGTATTGTTTTTAAGTGTTGCTGTTTTAAATTGTATATTGTTTTTAAACTGTTGTTAAACCGCAATGAGTCGCCGTTTCCGGCTGAGATATTAGCGGTATATAAGTGTATTAAATAAATAAATAAATAAATATAAGGCTGTGAGGAATGCTGGGAGTTGGAGTCCAAAACACAACTGGAGGGAAGGCCCAAGTAGGCCTAAGCCTATTCTATCTATCTATCTAATCTATCTTTCTATAAGTCTATAAGGCTGTGAGGCATGCTGGGAGTTGGAGTCCAAAACACAACTGGAGGGAAGGCCCACGTAGGCCTAAGCCTATTCTATCTATCTATCTAATCTATCTTTCTATAAGTCTATAAGGCTGTGAGGAATGCTGGGAGTTGGAGTCCAAAACACAACTGGAGGGAAGGCCCAAGTAGGCCTAAGGCTATTCTATCTATCTAATCTATCTTTCTATAAGGCTGTGAGGAATGCTGGGAGTTGAAGTCCAAAACACCTGGAGGGAAGGCCCAAGTAGGCCTAAGCCTATTCTGTCTGTCTATCTATCTATCTATAAGTCTCAAAGGCTCTGAGGAATGCTGGGAGTTGGAGTCCAAAACACCCAGAGGGAAGGCCAAAGTAGACCCAAGACAGCTAGTAGATGAATAAATAGAGAAGGCGAGGGAAAGCTTGAGTCAGATCATCCTGTATCCCATTCTGGGCAAAGCCTTTCAAGGAGGATCTTGACAATAATAATAATAATATTTATTTATTTATCTTTTATCTCTCTTCTTCTATCGTCTTCTATCTTTTATATATATATATATATATATATATATATATATAAATGCTCTGTGCATAATGAGTTTCTTAAAAACAAAAGAACCAACGAAAGAACCACCAACTTTGGCAACGAAACATCTCGCTACCCAAGGAGTAACCATCACTCAAAAAATTAGGTGATATTTTTATATATATGTGAGGCATTGAATTTGCCATTTATTATGTTGAAACCATTTTGAGTCCCTCCAGGGGTGAGAAAAGCGGTATAGAAATGTAGTTAATAATAATAATAATAATACCACTGAACTATGGCCACTATTTCTCCGTGGGGATGGATGTTTCTAAGCATCACTGTAGGGAAGGGGTCCTCAAACTACGGCCCGCGGCCCTCCAAGGTCATTTACCTAGCCCTCGCTCAGGGTCAACCTAAGTCTGAAATGACCTGAAAATACACAGCAACAACAATCCTGTCTCATCACCCAAAAGCAGGTCCACACTTCCCATTGAAATACTAATAAGTTTATTTTTATTATCTTCCTTTATATAAATAAAAATGTAATGTTCTTTTGTGGGATTAACAGAACTCAAAAAACACTGGATGAATTGACACCAAATTTGAACACAAGACACCTAACATCCCAATGGATGTCCTTCACTCAAAAAAATGATTTTGACATTTGGGAGTTGTAGTCGCTGGGATTTATAGTTCACCTACAATCAAAGAGTATTCTGAACTCCTCCAACAATAGAATTGAACCAAACTTGGCACACAGAACTCCCACGACCAATAGAAAATACTGGAAGGGTTTGGTGGGCGTTGACCTTGAGTTCGGGAGTTGTAGTTCACCTCCATCCAGAGAACACTGGACTCAAACTTTATTTGTACCCCGCTACCATCTCCCCAAGGGACTCGGTGTGGCTTACATAGAATCATAGAATCAAAGAGTTGGAAGAGACCTCTTGGGCCATCCAGTCCAACCCCCTGCCAAGAAGCAGGAATATTGCATTCAAATCACCCCTGACAGATGGCCATCCAGCCTCTGTTAAAAGCTTCCAAAGAAGGAGCCTCCACCACACTCCGGGGCAGAGAGTTCCACTGCTGAACGGCTCTCACAGTCAGGAAGTTCTTCCTCATGTTCAGATGGAATCTCCTCTTGTAGTTTGAAGCCATTGTTCCTTGCGTCCTAGTCTCCAGGGAAGCAGAAAACAAGCTTGCTCCCTCCTCCCTGTGGCTTCCTCTCACATATTTATACATGGCTATCATATCTCCTCTCAGCCTTCTCTTCTTCAGGATAAACATGCCCAGCTCCTTAAGCCGCTCCTCATAGGGCTTGTTCTCCAGACCCTTGATCATTTTAGTCGCCCTCCTCTGGACACATTCCAGCTTGTCAATATCTCTCTTGAATTGTGGTGCCCAGAATTGGACACAATATTCCAGGTGTGGTCTAACCAAGAAGAATAGAGGGTAGCTTGACTTCCCTAGATCTAGACACTATGCTCCTATTGATGCAGGCCCAAAATCCCATTGGCCTTTTTTTGCCGCCACATCACATTGTTGGCTCATGTTTAACGTTGTCCACGAGGACTCCAAGATCTTTTTCACACGTACTGCTCTCGAGCCAGACGTCCCCCATTCTGTATCTTTGCATTTCATTTTTTCTCTGCCTAAGTGGAGTATCTTGCATTTGTCACTGTTGAACTTCATTTTGTTAGTTTTGGCCCATCT